TTTTAACAACTTATCTCCCCCCTCCCTCTGTTTCCGATTGAGAAAGTTGCATAATTATAATATTGTATTTTCTAATTTTTTTTCTTTTAATTACTCAACTATATTTTTAGAACATTCCGGCTATTATCATTTTCGAGATGGAAATCACAAAAATTTTTAAGATATTCTTCCCGGAAAGTTGAGAGATCCCAGGTTCGAATCCTGACTGAGGTAATATTTTTCGCAATAAATTTCTTATTTTCTTTCTTTCTTTCTTTCTAATTTAATTTAAAAAGAATTATTAGCGTTTCATAATGATTGTGTTGAAACCGAATGTTATCGGCTCGCAATTATATCTGGAATAAATTGATTTAATAAAAAAATATATAATGATTATTTAAACATCCAAAATTTGACCGATTTTAGCTTTCTTCTCGTATTTGATGTATTCACATATACGGTCGTGCTTAAAATTCTTAATATGTTCATAAGAATTTTATTTAAAGGAGAAGTCAACAATTTTTTATGTATCAAATTCTGCGGATAATCTATTTTAATTTCAAGTTTTTAATCAAATAGAAATTTCCATTCGCTTTATGATCGATCTGCGATGGAAGCAGAAATAACTGATTATCTTCAGCGTTGCTATGAAAACTCTTCGTTCGTGATGCTCGAATTTCTCTTCAACGCCGTTATAGAAATCCATTACAGGCTCCGTCAAGCCAAGAGATAGTCTTAAAATAATTTTGATTATGGTATGATCGCGATTGGTATACGTAAAAAAAACTATATAGAACAAAAAAATTGGTATTGCAGTCACGCGTTACAGAAAACGTGACTCGCATAACAGATCACAAGTGTTGATAAATTTCTGCATTCTGGAAGAAGTATGAAAAGATGAAGCAGTTGAGGAAGTAAAATGCTAAAGAGATAGGAAGAACATCAAACCGTCGAATGATCATAAGATAGAAAAGTAAGAGCAAAAAGTTGATGCAGTTGATATAGAAATCAATTCTTGTCCGCATTTATCGATATTCGATATTGGCTTATATCGAATAAACGTAAAGAGAAAAGACATATTCTTTAATTAATTGCGATTTATTTAGTATAATTTTAATATTTATTACAATTATTATATATATTTCAATTTATTAAATTTCATGATAAAGCTTTAGAAATACTACATACTATAAAAAAATTATGAAAATAGATATTAACGATATATTGAAATATTCAATTTAATTTAATATCATATATGGCAGGAATTTTTCTGATCTCTAATGGCAAATACAATTTAAATATTTAATACACCGTAAAATTTTAATCAACTATACATTAACATGTATCAATTTACCTATTATAAGGTTCATAATTTGATTTATTACATGTATCGCAAGTATATATTTATATTATTTATCACATCGGAATAAGCGAGATGATTTACATTGG